CAAAAACGGATGCGCTTCTTCTTCTCCTCCCCTTCTTGCGGAAAAGATCCCAGAGGAACCCACGGGATTTCATTCGTCCATGCGCTGTGGCCACACCCCATGTCCCACCGGTGACGACGGTGCCCGTCACTCACCGCGGCGGGTGACGTCCAACGGATGGCCGGATGGCCGCCGCCCCGGCCGGCCGCCGCGGATGGCTTTGGAACGGCACCAGGGGCGAAGGGAAGAGCCTTGGCGGCGAGGATGAAGAGGTGGCTCCTACCTAATAGCGATGGCCGCCTACCTAAGAGCAATGGCCTCCAACCTTCTAGCGATGGCCTCCAACCTAGCAGCCTCGTCACGAAGAACTTTCATGCCCTGCGAGGTTGGCAAAGGCTGTTCTCGGGTGATGTTCGCTTTGATGACCAAGCCGTGCACGCAGCCAGCGCCACAAAGCTGTCCTCCCTAACAGGTGCGGTGTACTTCGAGCACCAGAACTCCGCAAATCGGATCAAAAATAAGAACTGAGCAAAAGCTGGCTCAGTCAAGCAGGGCAGGCAGACGGATCACATCGCATGAGCAAGTCCGCCCGGAAGTATCCCTGGCGCGTGCCGGTGGTGTTCGTCGTCCCTTCTCCGTCCAGGTCCCAACCGAAGCGGGTCGAAAGGTCTCGGGTCGTGACGCAGATCGACCGAGACCCACCGAGAGCGGCACGTGGGACGTGGGACGTGGGGAATCGCCGAGACCCACTGAGAAACACTGATAGAAGAACCAGTGTACCTGATATGAACTGATCAGAACACACCACCGTCTCACGACCAGATCTACCCGAGACTTTCTCGAACAATGAGACAAACAATAAGGATCAATAAGGTTCCATGCACTTTCCATACATCAGCCAAGGCCTTGTTGTTCCAGTGCCGCATCTCATCTAAGGAGAAGGGACCTTGAACCTGGATGCCAGTCACGCAAGGACCACGACACCCTCCGACGAGGAGAGCTTCGCTGTGAAAACCATCCAGTCAGTGAGCTTCTCAAGACATCGAAAAGCGGCGTGAACAAATCTGAGGGTTGTCTCAGACAAGCGAGTGAAAAAGCGCTAGAGATAGATCGATATTGAAAAAGGCCTTTTTTCAAGAACTCCCTACCTGCAGCCTGACAGTTTGAGGTCCTGACACGTCCAGTTTGGTCCAGATATTGCCAGCCTCCAAGCGATAAACCCAGCTTGACACTAGCCCTTCAAGCTGGATGCGATTGATTGGCTCAGCGATTGGCAGTCATCCAATGCGACGAAAAAGAAACGCCCCAGTCTCCATAGTCTAAGCTCCTCACCATGCGAAGGACATGATGCGGAGAAGGCGACTTTCCTCCCCAAAGGGGCGAGAGTGAGCTTGTCAGTCTTGGCATGTCTTGGCCCCCCAAAGGCGGAGATCTGGATCTCGACGGCTTCTTTCAAGCACTTCGACGGTGCCACCATGCCACCCCCACCCCCGTACCTTGGAGTCTCGCGCTGGGACGCGTTGGCCTGCGCGTGTGTTGTGTCCGTCCGTCCGTCCGTCCAACCGGCGGCGAGCAAAGTGCTGCGTTGAGACACGTCTCGAAGATGGCTGACAGGTTTTTCATTCATATAAAGCTGTCGACTGCCGAAACATGCGCCAACTTCTTGGCAAGTTCAGCGTTGTCAGTGGTGCTACACCAGCGACCTGTTTCTGATTCTAGCTGGCCTGCCATGTCCTTCAAAGCCCAAGTAACTCCTCCTCTGGATTGCTCACTGTGGCCTCAAACCTGCTGTCAGCACTTGCCTTGCCTGCAGAACAAGGAATGGTGGACAGTGACAGCACCATGACCTCACCAGCCATCCCTCACCCGACCCCTCGATTCGCCCCGCACCCACGGCCTCTGCACTTCGCACGGAGGAACCTCGCCGCGCAGCTCGGCACGGCTCGGCGCGGCTCGGTGTCCACTCGGTGCACTGGGCGCTCCCACTGGCCGAGGGTAGTTCGGTTTCGAAGTCCGAGCCTCTGAGGACGAGTCTCGCGTGGAGGCTCGCACGTCGGACTGCCGGTGACCAACGCGCGCACGTTGGTAGGGGAGAAGGAGGAGGAGTGAATAATTACACCTGGTTGGGGAAGCTTCCCTGTTGACATCTGTTGACCTGCACACCCCAAAAAGAAGGGGGCACGAAATGCTTCCCTTCTTTTAAGCACCCGAGAGCGTTTCGGCAGCTAAGGCAGCAGCACGTGGGCCAGGAGGCCAGGTACTCGACATACTGGGGAGTGACTGGAGCCTCAAACAGCGGCACTGAGGAGACCATCGCCTACTCCGCGCCGTTCGTCCACAGAGTCGAGCACAAAGTCACAGTGTGTGCATTTCGGTCTCGACCTCCCCAAAACCGCCCTGTCTGAAGGTCTTTGGAATAGATGACGATGCAAACGGGGGGTACCCAGACATAAAAATGGCCACTATGTGGGTTCATGTGGGTTCTACCTTTAGAGAATCCTCACCCCATCCGCTCTCCAAGGCGGTCACTGCTGTTGTGCGAGCAGGCTTCTTGTTTCCCTGCAATTCACGTGATTGCAAGGCCAAGAAAACCGCAATGACTTGGATCAAAAACGTGAATCAACTGGTCTCAAGCGTCGCCCCTCATTATTGAGGATCTTGGTATTTTTCATGTACAGATATGCACCGTCCATAGAAACTTGAACAATATCAGCTTAGCTTTGCTTTGAAAGTGGTGAAGCCTACGCCATGACAACCCCCACCGAAAAAGACTCCAAACAAAGGAACCCTCTCGTGTTTCTGCAGCACGGATGGATTGATGAGGCGAACATGTCGGCTGGCCCAGTTTGGAGTCTCGATCACCGACATTGCCAGTCTGCCCCCCCCTGCCTTGGAGTGCAAAACGACCACGCCTCCCCTTGGAGTGCGAGCTTGACCCAAATCACAGGCCGGCGGCAAGGGGCATGAAAGGGGCACCCAAATCTCTTAGACCAGCGGAAGGAGGCGTTTGGGATGGCTGAGGGTCTTCAAACGAACTTCCGCTCCGGCCAGGGCCTGCAGCACCGCCCAAAAGCATCAAAATAGAAAAGCTGCACACATCTAGGTCCGCAGCAAAGTCTTTGGAAGGAACAGTTTCCCCACTCTAAGCCTCAGTTGGAGCAACTCACATCCGAATTGAAGCTTGGAAAGCCCTCCTAGATCACGAAATCATCATGGCTCCCGGCCAGTCTCCTTCATCAACACCTCTCACCTTGTTGCCCCAGGGCCTTGCAAAGACGGAAAAACAAGCTCTTCTTCGCAAACATGACTTGGGCACATCTGCGTCTGAGTCTGAGTGCTCATTGCTATCAAGGTGATTCTACGACAGTTGCGGTGTGTTGTTCCTTGAGGATCTGCTCTCACTCGACGGTCTTACGACGACCAAGCGGGTCGCCGGACGGACCCGGAGCCGAGAAGAGCCAGCCAGCGGAAACCACGCGAAACCGGAAGCGACAAGGCAGGAAGAGTGGGGAACACTTGGCAAAGAATCCGGAAGCGACTTGGCCGGAAACACCTTTTCCAAGTTTAAGCTCCCTTCTATCTCTGAAGACGTGATTCCTCTCTGAGGCATGTGCTCCCAGGCATCCTCAACCCTGTCCGCGGAGGACTTCGTCCTGGCGAGCCGGTCCGCGCGGAGGACGACGTCCGGGCGAGTCCCCACTTCAGGCGAGTCGGAGTGTTGTTCTTTACGTTGTTTTCTGTTGGTTGTCCTTTTGATGTCGGAGCACAGCTGGCACAGTTGTCTCAAGAACTCCAGTCAGTGTGCTGCGAATCACTGGCATTGCTTCGAATCACTGGCATACTCTGTCCTTCTGTAGCCAAGGCCTAAGGGCGTGAGGATCTGATGTGATCTGAGTGTGGTTTCACCCCAAGTGGACAGATGTTGATCCTCATGACCTTTCATCTGATACAGTGGGGATTCGGATGGATTCTGACCATGAGCTCGTCGAGCCACTGGTCCATTATCCCGGATCAAGGGGCACGACTGAACCCGCGTTAGCACGTCCCAGTCTGTTTGGCCGTTTCTTTGTTTAAGGCTCCCAGTCCCAGTGGTATCTGGGCTTCTCACCGGGAGTGGTCGCTTGAAGCACGCTGTTGTCCACAAAGTACTCCCGAGTCACCCCCTGAAGAGGAAAACCCATCTCCGCGAAGAAAGGTGATGTAGTACGTGATGTCCCGCGTTCCAGCACTGTTTCCTTAAGGCCTTGGGGCCCCTCGTTTAAGCAACGCTTTGAAGCTTGTTTCAAGCCAAGACCTGGCCTGCCCTATTTCTGTTTGAGAATGATTTCATTGCCTTAACCACGGCTCTAAGCTGCTTGTCCTTGCAGGACGTCCTGTCCAATCTGTATTTTTGCATTTCTTCCTTTAGACTGGATAAGTAGGGATCTCAAGGGCAACCAACAAGTCCTGGCCGGAACTGGCCGGAAATGACGGCCTCAGATGCCTCTTCGCCGTTGACCACCTTGGCCTTCTTCACCACCTTGACCTTGCTCGTGGAATGGATAGAAATTCACAGTGAATGCCCTTGGAAACATGCATTCCAATCTCTTCCTATCCCTTTGGGGGTCAGCAAAGGACGATGTCTGGATGTCTACGTGTCACTTAGGCATTGGCTGAATCGTTCGTGCGAGCTTCGCCGTTCGTCGCAGGCTGTCCATCGGCAGTGCCTGCTGTGTGCTGGAGCTATGCATGCCGTGCAACCATTTTGCGATCTCTCCATCGCAAGCTCCCCCCAAGCTTGCTCGGCACAACCTCCCCTTTTTCAATAATGGCAATAAGTGGTGATCTGGCCGCAGCCAGCTGCTTGGGCATGGAAGCTGCTCAAAATGCCAAGGAGGGCATTGCACCACGCGTGCACACCCTGCGCGGGCGCACGCAGGTGTTTAGCCCCTGGAGCTCCAGCGCTAAGGTCCGGAGCTTATGTACAAATGTGGCTTCCACACTAGAGCTTCAAGCTGCACACGCTGCTTCTTCACCGTTTCTCACTGCCTGGTGTCAGCAAACGCTTGCTGAACCTGGGAAGAGGCGAATCCGTGGGTGAAATTCAACCATCACACAGCCCGTTTCATGAGAGGCGTGACGTGAGCGGCGTAATTACAGCGCGCACCCACGACCGGGACCCAGCTGGACTGAGGACTGACGCACCCCACCTCTCCATGCAGCACTGCTCGCTGAAATGGTACTGAAGGCATTTGTTTGCTCGGCACCAAGAACATGCCAAACACTGCCGTGAAGCCCTGGCAAAGCATCGAAACAGCATCGGGAAAAACCACGATCGACGAAAACAGAAACAGCAAAATCGAAAATAATATATAATGTGGGATGCGAAGTGCCTCAAAGCTTTGACGAAGGACTTTATTTAATAAAATCCTTTCGAGCTGAGGTCATTCCCTTATTTTTTTGTGTGCCAACGTTGGCAGCCAAAAAAAATGGCTAGCTTTTGAGCATTTATGGAATCCCGCGCCAACGTGTTTTATGGAATCCTGTTACCAAGGTTGCAGGAGCAAATGACTAACAAGCATATTGGCGTATTAAATTCCTGGTTAGGGGGGGTTGGAGAGGCGAAGGTTCTGGCTCTTTTTCAGCGTATGCTCTCGGTCGTTTTGCTGGGGCAGAGTGCTGACATGATTCTTCAGAATCGGGCCATGCTTAAGTCTATTTTGGTTTGCTTGTCCTTCATGCGCGTGCATTGCTTGTTTTCATCTATTCTCCGTTCTTTCGTGAAGCTGGCGCCCGAAAAGCGCGAGAACCATCATCGAGCCGAGTTTCGCCTGTGACTGCAGAGCCTCGTCGTTGGCGTGATGTGCCTTAACCTCACCGGCCTGACTGTGGCACCTGGTAAGATGCCCATGGAAAAGGCAACGCGCCCTCGATCAAAAAGTCAAACATGTCACGTTTAGCAGAACCAATGAAAATGAAATCCTGGCCTTGACCTAACTTTAGAAAGCAAGAAACAGCAAACAAACAGTTATAAAGTCCTGTCATTAACATGTTCATGAGGGTCAAAAGTCCCTAGGATGTATTTTTTCTACGCGTCTTATTTTTTTCCTGCACCAACATCTTGCACCAACATCCTGCACCAACATTTGTTTTTTTTTTGGAATCCTGTGACTGGGGTCCGGTACAAGAAAATTTATAATTAATAATATGTCCTTGACCTCTAGGAAAAAAGTATGGACTATCGATCCCATATTATATATATATGGTCTTTTTCCGATGGTGCAACAGATCGGAGATCTTTCTGTTTCTGCAACTGACGCATCAGTTTGGTGCCAAAAAAGCAGAAGAATGGAGAAAAGGTGAAGAGCCGCAGAGGAAAAATATTCAGAGAAAATATTCCGAGAACTGGATCTAAGGAATCTGAGTGTAGGCCAACTCAATGAAACGAAACTCTTGTCCGAGTCTTTCACTCGTGCAGGCACGCGTTGGTCCGACACCCTGCGCCTGCAGTGCGGCATTTCCACGAAGGAAGGCGTGCTCCGCCTCCTCCTCCACCTGAGGCCCGATCTCACCAGCGGCATAGAAGCCCATGAGCGGAGCCCGAGGAAACTGTGCCTGGCAAGTGGGAGTAAGATGTAGTAAGAATGCTCGTTAGTGTCCTTGCTCCTAGTAAGGCCAGGAGCCCTTAGGAGCTTCTTGCTCCTAGTAGCGATGCCAGGAGCCCCTAGTAGCGTCCGACCGCTCCTAGTAGCTGTGGGCTAAAGGTCGCTTTTGGCTCAGTTCGTGTGTCACGAACGCGGTCGGCACGACGGCACGCGTCACGCACGCGGTGTGCCGACGGTCAGACAACCCGTCGCAAAAGGCCACCTCGCAAAGAAAGCACCCCTCGCACCTGGAAAAGTGCTGCATCCTTCGCATGGCATCCAAACATGTGTGGACCACGCGCATTGCATGTAAAGAGCAGCGCGCCCAGGATGGACTCGTTCTTGGCTGTGGCGCTCTCCTGTGCATGGCTCATGCAGTTGGCCACGGTCTGCTTGGCTGTGGCGACGCAGCCGGTAAAGGGGCAGGTCATGGCATAGAGCGGAACATTCCTTGGGATTTGCGTCGTGTTTTTCGGAAGCCGGGAAAAGGGTCAACGTCTCTTCCCCAAGTACCCTTGGCATCCTTGGGGGATCATTCCAAGTAATTTCACCAGGCTTTTGGAGGTGAAAATCCACCCAAAAACAACATAAAACACCATCTGAATCTAACCCAGGCGAAAAATATACGCCCAAACCAAAAGGAAACTTAAAAGGAAACTCAAAGGGAAACCAGGATTCCCGGAGATCGCCAGAGCTCCAACCCCTCGTCCTCCAGAGATCGATCCTTCAGACGTCCGCCCTCTCACCAAGATGCGGTGTCCCATGACGACGCCTCCAATGACGGCTGCTTCAGGATACGCCTCCTACGGCTGAGGCAGGAAAAGGAAGCGAAAAAAAGAAAAAAAGGTATATAAGGTCGAAAATTACCATCGTTTGCCTTGCAAATCACCTGACTCACAGAATCGTGAACACATCCGCCGCATGTCCGGCGTGTCCCGTCGGCGTCCCGCGACGCCACGTCCTGGATCTTCGCGATGCTTCGCGCAGTCGAAGAGCCGCGGTCCGCATCGTAGACCACCACCACTTTCGGCGGAGGTTCAAGGCTCAGCAACTCTTTCAGTGGATCCTGATTGCTCGCTCCGATCGTCCCAAAAGCCAGCGAATCGATTCCCAAAGAATGCAGGGAACCCGGCACAAACAACCTCGGTTTGAATTCAATTTGAGGAATGACCATAGTTTGCGTGGGGTCTATCATGTACATGATGCATCATAATATATTACTTAATATGATGATACATGAAACTTCCCCCATTCACAGAAGACTTTGGCTCTCCTCAGCCGCTTCTTGAGTCTTGCCTGGCAGATCTGCACCCCAACACCGACCAGTCGACTGTGGGTCCGGGTGTTAACGTTGGGAGCCGCTTCTGGGAAAGCCCTTCCTTTTCAGAAGATGTTTCGAGGTTTTTGGGGGGTTGAGCATAGGGAAGTCTGGTTGAACGTGTCATCCCATCTTCCCCATCTTCTGGCGCCTCGCACCTGTTCCACCCTTCCGCAAACACCAACCTTCACAGAGTGAGGGTTAAAATAGACTCGGCTCGACCCATTGCCACCTGTTTCTCACACCCGTCGGGGAATGCAGCGAAAGCAGCCAAAGCAACGCGGCTCTCCAAAACTATGCGCGCCCTGGACTTGTAGCATTGTAGCATGTACTTACGACTCAAAATTAAGGCATAAATGCCAAGTAAGTGCAACTACTCCCAAAAAGAAACCTTTCTAATCAAGGACCAGTAGCCATGGGCCTAGGACTTTCCAGTTAGTGTGGCTGAGCCGGCAGGTCCCCGGGAGTTGTATTTCCCCCTACTTTTGCCATGCATGGAGTGTGGTCATGCTGGGTGCTCATGACTCATGACATCCAGTCTCCACAGTTGCCTTGCTTGAGTGGACGGCCTCCTCTGAGCTCACCAATGTTTGCGTGCGAAGCGGCCCCCCGCCGCAACACAGCAAAGAGATGCAAAGAGTCTGTGGGAAACATGTCCGACACCTGTCAGTTTTCCTGTGGGAAACTTGGGACGCAGTATACTGTGGTTCCTTATTTTCAGCTGGCTCTAACAGCCTGTTAATCACAGCCTGTTTGCTTCAGCGGTGCTTGCTTGGTCAACCTTGGCCAGTGCCAGCCGTTGTTGAGATATGTTGAACTGCCAACACTAGGTGTGCCTGCCCAGTTTGGTCACCTCTGGCCCATGCCTGTGGCATACTGCCAGTGCCGCGCCGCAACACTCACGTCGTGCGCGCACCACTCAGAAGCCGTGCAGAGATCATGAAGGACCATGAAGGACCAGCCACTCGACTTGTGCACAAATCACAGATCCAGCCTTTGGGAGCAAGGCTCGCTCCTTCCGCTTCTTTCAAACCATCTTCTTCCACCTTGGAGCGAGGCTTTTCGCAGCGCATCGCTGCGCAGAGAAATCGCAAACGCGAAAGCGCACGGCAATCGCTCGAAAAAGAGTACAACGACTGGATGTGACGGGCGCTGTTAGAACCACAAGCACAAGGGCCAGCGATGACCGGCATTAAGCCAGGAGGTAGGAGATCATGCACAAAAAGGGCAGAATATTTTGTTTGCGAGGTCTGCTGGCTGCATCTGGCTGCAATGTTCCTTGCATCCGAAGGAATCTGTACACTTTGCTCAGATCTGTGCATGGCCAGCGCTTATGGCATAGCACAAAAGTGTCGGACCTCATAAGGCTATGGTGCGAGGTCAAGGCTTGCAAACGGTGTCCGTGCCCGTGGCCTTGTGTCTCGTCCGATTAGTTGAGGCACAGTCCCACGGCCGATAGAGTCAGCATGGACGGCCAATGTCCCAAAGCTCCAGACGCAACAACAGAGTCGACCGATGCAGGGCCACCCTGGCCGTTGCAATACTGGCAAGAGCTTCGTGGCACGTATTTGCACACTCCACAATTCACCAATTCAGGCCCTCCTCCTCCGCTCCAGGCTCCAGCGGCTCCGGCAGAAGCTCCAACGTTGTAGGTCTTTGTCACCTTGGCCTTGCCACCCATGCCATTGCAATAATCGCATGTGCCTTTGGGCACACAAACGCACACCCCACAGTCGTGGCACTGGGCCAAGTTGCGCGCGGTGGCATTCCCTGCAGACAGAAACTCTGCACAAGCCGAGCAGGCCAAAAGTAGGATGGTCCATGAGCGGTGCATGGTCCTGTCTTGAGTTGGAGTGAAAAGGGGTCCTTCAGATCTTTTGAGCCAAGATCTGCAACATGGACCGGAGTGAAATCGATTTATGAAGACATGTGTGCGTGTGTGTGTGTGTGTGACACTGTGCAATCTTAACTAACTATATTATATATATAAGATTTGTTGACTCATTGCCAGCAACATGCCAGAGACAGGGCCCGTGAACATGGTTCAGTCAGCCAACCTCCTCCGCATCACAGGAGCTAACCTCATCCTCAGAATAGGTGTCCTGGTCAATGGTTGGCGGCGGTGTTTCTGAGACCCTCTAAACATAACGCCCACAAAAAAAGCCGACAAAACCACTGTCCTCATCGTCACTGTCTGCCTTGCTTTTGGATTGCATCGGCATCAAGTGGAAAGCTTTTGCAGAGGCCTCCCACAAGCCCATTGCATTCACACAGAGCTCCCAGCGGCCCATTCTCCACCATGCGACCCCACCCACCCACCCCGGCTAGCCGCAGATCTTCTAGCCCATCCGATCCGCCTCCGGTAAGGTGGTGGCCAGAATAGCCACTTCGCATCGGTCGTATCGATTGCGGATGTCCAACCTCAGGATGACTCATCGACCGGATGACTGATCCTCGGATGGCATCCTCGGAAGCTTGGATCATCGACCGGATCCTTTGCGTCTTCAAAGAGCCTCTCCAACTGTCCAAACGAACTGGTCGAAACCGGCCGCAACCGGCCGCGCACGTTCCGAAGGCACGTTCGAACAACTCAGTCCGCCACGTGGTCTGGGCAGGACGAGGATGATTCTCCGGAAACCAGGCACACTGCAGTGACATTGTGCTGCCACCGAGCACCTAGCAGTGCTCGCGAGAGCAACGACGGCAGGAGCAAAGCCTATCAACTTGCAGTCAACACTAGGCATCCGATATTTTGTCGCAGGCAACCCCCAGTATGGCTGTTTGTCCTCTCCGCTTTCACTGGGAAGTTGACCAATTTCCATAGAAAGAACCACACAAAGTGTTCATAAACCCGTTTCGGCCTGGGTGGTGGGTGGCAGCTTCTTGGCAAGAAAATCCGTCATCTCAGCCTCAAACGCGTCCTCGGCAAAGGGATGGAAATAGACAGCAATCAAGCTGAAGCGGAGGCCACAGTGAAAGCACAAAGCATGCACAAAAGATGATGGTGTCATGGTGGTTCAAGAAGGAAACCATCTACTCTGATGGCCTCATAACGACCCCATGGCCTCATATTACAACTGTTGTGCCATCTATGAATTGAAACCCTTACTGTAGACCAATCACCGGCCTCATCATCGTGATGACCAACGGAGTATTGCACAAACACCACGGTGGGCCTCCGGAAAAGTGCGGGATTTCGCTGGACATCATGGCTCTTCGGATTTCGTGGCCGGCTCTTCACATGATCACACTTGACGCACTCCACACTCAAAGCAGCAAAGTTTGGCTGGCTTTGGCTTTCGGCTCGGCTTTCGGTGCCTTAACTTGTTCTGTGCAACTGCTCACATTAGGCGATTGTACTGTGTTGTTGTCAATGTGAAGCTTCGCCCGCACGGGGATAGCCTGGCCACCAGCCGCTCCTTCAGCTCTTGAGCGATCGTCTCCAGACTGCCCTGAAAGCGAAGCTCAAGAACTAGCACAGTAACTAGGTAGACTTTGATGGTAGAAATGCCCAAAACAAATCCATCCATGTCCATTTCCATCCGCATTTCGAACCCTACTGAGTACAGGAATGTCGCCTTGAGCACCAGCAGTGAGGGCCGCTGTTGCGCCTGAAACACGGCCAAACATGGCTGAGGCGCATTTCGGAATCTGTTGGGATCACCGATGACTTGCAATGACCATGGTGGAAATCAGAATGCGTGTCAGGCTAGGTCGGTACCTTCTCCAAAGTCCAGCAGACTCAACTTCTTGCACCGGAGCCCCCCCCAAAAAAAGCAAGACTCGACTCAACCCTTTTCTCCGGGGCCACACACAGCGATGTGGATTCATCCTGATGCCCGATTCGCGGCCGGGCCTCGTGCGCCGCCACTGCTCCCATGCGGCTCGTGCACGCGACCCGCGCCAAAGTGGCCGCCTGGCGGGCGCGCGGCCAGCACCGGACGGGCCAAGGATGTGGCAGTTCCAAAGATTGGAGAATCTACTTTGTTTTGGGGGTGGATAAAGGATGAGAAAATAGGACGAGGAATAAGAGGAATGGAAGTGAAGTCATGTAAACTCCGCAAAGCACAAAGCTTTTGGGCAGCTGTTTGGAAAAAAGCACCATTTCTAGTCCGCCTGCTATAGAAGTCTGGGTTGCCCGGCATTCATGTAGGACAACGCATCCAGCAAGCTGTCTACCCCCAGGTAATCGCATAGAAACGGCATAGCGACCGGTCCAATCACGGACTTCGGGCCGGCAGGACTTCGGGCCGGTTGCCTTGAGCCACGCACCACCCGTCACTCAGTGCCAAAAAAGCCACAGAAACTTGGATCTTCAAAGAAGTGCCACCACCTCCGAGTGGAGGAAAGAGTTGATTTGTTTCTGCAAAAAATGGTTGTTTAGATGTTGTTTAATGGTTTTTGGGTGTTGCATCTTGTGAGCTAAACGCTGTGCCAAAACATGTCGCTGTGATGCAAGTCACCTTTCTCTCGCCTGCTGGTGCGCATGGCCTTTGCAAGTGATACAAGGGACACAGTTAGGCACATCAAGAGGACAGCCACTTCTGCCTCCCTTCAATGTAACACAAACATATCGATAAATGGATAATGTATAATATATATATATTATATATAATATATATATATAATGTCGATCAAACGGTCGAGCGGAACATATGGGAGGCAAAAATCACGATTAAAGCTGTGCTATAGGCCTGTCGCATGGCATACCATGGCTGAATCACCCCGTTCGGGTATGATCCCGACGCCGAGAAAAGCCGTTCCGGTGACCATCCCAGCGAAACGGCCATTCTGCACGCCAAACAACCGCATAGGAGCATGAACAGGAACACGCAAAATGTAACATGCCCTCTTCTGTGAAAAAGCGTAAGCAAGAGCAGATTCTGCACGGTCTTTGACCAAAACATCATGAATTTCACACACCAGACTAGGCTGCCCAACGAAACACCAGTGGGCCTGGTGGCCATGGCATCTTTGGCCTAGCGAAGCGGAAACATCAACCAATTCTGCGATTTGCAGGTCAGGCTCGAGCCCATTTCTAATTATCCATGTCCAATTTCTTGGGCAAATCCCCTACCAAGGTTGCCGTCTTCCTTCATCTGAGCTAGTACGATGGCCCCAGCCGCGGAAGCAATGACATGAGACTGCTTATTGCAGGCTTGATTTGGACATAATACGAACACCTGTTTTCACTCCGATCTCGTTGAGGGGGGCAGTCCAGGGCGGGGCAGCCAGCATTCTCATGACGACCCACCTCTCCACCCCTCCCCACACCAGGAAACAGCGAAATCCCTGCACTCTCCGTATCCGCGGCCACGCTCAGCGTGCATGAAATCCCATCCTTTCACGGACCCGGTCAGACGCGCGCGATGGCCTTGTCAAGCTTCTCCTCAGCCTGGCGATTCGAAGTCCAAGTCACCCATAGGACCGACGACTTTGCACCGTCGACGTTCGCCAAACGGTGCAACATCTTCTTCAATATAGTTCAATAGGCTGCAAAGCATCCGACACTCGAGGCCCCCCGGGCTCCAGCCTCCTCCTTCGATTCCGCCTTCTTCGCGCTGCCCTGCTTGGCACGACCTTCTTCGGCGACCCCGAGCGGCGGCGCCGCACGGTAACGCGCGCCCGTGTCGAACCTCTCGCGCCGCGGGGCGCCCTGCGCCGCTGAGAGCGGCACGTCGTAGCCACAGGAGCAGCGCTAAAGCCCCCAGGCCCAGTGCCACGCGGCCGGTGAGTTTCACGCGTCGCATGGCGGAGGGACCCAAAAAAAGGTCCCGGCCGACCTCCTCCGGGAGGGGCGCCCCACCTCTGGTTGGCGAACGAAACAAGCAGGAAGTGGATCTCCACCACGTGCCAGTTCTGGCTGTGTCCATGAAGGGTCTCTTAAGTGCTGAGGGTTCTTGGTCGCTGCTCGTTTTTGGTCGCTGATGTGGTTTTCATGTGACATCGTGGTGTTGCAGCTTTATAGCTTTTGCAGCTTTGATCCCAGATGCCGACTGCCGCACCGATGATGGAAAGAAGTCTAAAGCCTTTTTCGATGTCTTTCGCCTTGGAGAAAGACATCTGCTATCTGCGCGTCAGACGACTCGGCTGCCTTCGTTTAGCTCAGCTATAGCGGTTTTTATGCTGTTTTGATGTCCACAGCTGTCGGTGTCAAAGCGCACCGTCACCGTTCTTCGATCCGAGGAATCCAGGCTAAGCGATGTAGTAAGCCATGAGCAGCAGAGACATCCATCGCCTCGGGTCCGTCTAAGACCCCCAACAACGGTCGGTTGGTACCGACGCGTCGTGGTGTTCTGAACAGGTCCATCTTCGTTTGATTGGATTTTCTCAGCGGCGAAGTGAGGTTTGGGAAGAGGAAAATAACTGTTTTCATGCGGCTTCAATTACCAAGTAGTTGATGAGTTCGAAGAAATTCGACCCGACTTGGTTTCAGTTTGTTCACTTTTAATATGATCTTTCCAGTTCCAAACATCCAATGGACGACCGCCTTACAAGAAGTAGGAACGACCAGTTCAGCACGCAGCGATTGGGTTCTCCATCTTCTCCATGATCCAATTCTGCCATTGAAAGCTCAAGTCATTTCTACGGTCTCAAGCCATCAAAGTTGTGGAAAAACAACACTGTGGTTAAGGCCTGCAGCTGCGGCCCCTTCTGAGCTTGCCCTGAGGGGACGCTGGGTTGTGACTTCGTGGTGTGGGAATGGATGACATCACAGCACCCCGACTTCAAGTCAAAGGATCTCCCCAGCAATAGATGGGCTCCTTTTCATACTCTTTTCATGCCCTTTTCGCACTGTTCTCTTCCAGGCGGTTTGGTTCGTACCCTGCACACCGAAAAGGGTCCAAAATGCGCCAAGCGACGCAGCACCACTGGCTCACTTCCACTGCTGTGTGAGACAGAGACCTCAGGTCTTGATCCGCCCACGAGGCTCTCACGGCCTCATCAGCCTTGACCTCCAAAAACATCCGACAGCTGTGGCACGTACTGTCCATCCCGCAGGCTTCGCCAGGACACACACGTGCTGCCTCGGCAGAGACGCAAAAACCGATCCATCCAGCGGCAGAGACCTTTTCGGGGCTCAAAGAACCGGGGCCGGACCATAGAGCGTGCCATGCTGGCGGCATGCTGGCGGCTTCAGAAGTGGTTCCCTATGCAGTGGACATATGTCAAGAAGGGAAGAGGCTAGGAACTGGAGAGCAAGCACTGTATGTGTTCCTCAACGCCGGCGATGCTGCAAAGCTCTTCGCATCACAAGCATGCCATGCCATTGCAGGTCCACTTGATGGATGGCGGATTGAAGAGTGGAAGGTGCTTTGGAGTGGCTTCACGTCCAAGTGTGTAGACCATAAACGAAGGTTGAGCCAAGCTTGGAAAAGTCACACAAAGTTTATATCAACTGTAAATATGTATAGTTTTGACTCGACATATGGTATTATATTATACTATTATGTAAATCATATCATACCAGTAGTTTTGTCAACTATAAATGTACAGCAACATCCCTTACCACAAGCGCTCCAGGACTCCGGGATACCCCAGGCAACTGCCCCTCCACACCAGGCTGCTCATCATGCAGCAGGTGTGGCTGCGGTGCAGTCTCGCCTGAGAAGTGGGGGAGGGGCCATCGTTCCTTGGTTCCACTGTCGTTGGGCCTGCCGCAGGTCGACCGAGTCGACTAGGTCGACCTCGATCCTTCCGGGCCTCGGGAAACGGTCGGAGCGGCGGAACGACCGAGTCGCTGTGGAAACGACTGGCTGAGGGCTCCACAGCCCAGTCTCTGCACACACCTTCCGCAGCCTGGAACAACGACGGTGACAGCCTGCCAGAACTCCGAAGGGACAAGCACAACACGCCAAGGGTAGAACTTGCCAGTGCAGAAGTTACGCTTCTTCCAGCTAGAACTAGAACATCGGTATGTTCCTAGATGCAAAAGTCATATACAGTACATGTTTTGCCCTCCAGGACAATGGAATGATATAGTAGGCACACCGCTGCAAACCTCTCCAGCCCGCAAAGCACCGCTTGCCTTCCCAGAAGCCGGAACGCATGAACCTCATCTCCAAGTCTCAGTAAATGGATTCGTGCTCGTCTCTCCCTTCCTCTCTCTTTTAACACTAAAATGCTCACGCGCTCACCTGAAAGACTGTTGCCTTAAGGACCCTCACCCAAAAAGGCCTGGCTTTCCCCCTTGCAAAAGGCTCTTCGACTTCGTTCCCAAGTGCTAGGCGATCCCGAAAGCAAAGGTCGGGTGCCTGGCTGGGAGGGGTTTCCGCGACAGCCGAAAGAGTCCTCATCGACGAGGTGTGGACACTCCCGATCTTGACAGGGACTATGAATGTGTTTTTTTACAATCAAGATATCAATGGACTATGTCATATCTTGACATATGGTTTTCTTTCATATGATATTATTCACAATGATAGGTTCCATGATTCCAAATATACAAGCCCCACTTCTCCGCAAAAAAGAGGACGCGCAGAAGTCGTCCGCGCCACTCTGGTCGACTCACTGTCTGACTCGCGGACTCACGGGTCAGATGCGTCCCTCTACGACCGAGTCTGGACGGGAATGAGTTACTAAGATCATCTGCAACGGTCCAAGTTCAGGAGCTAGTAGTAACAAGTGCCACGCTAGTAGTAACAGGTGCCTTACTA